CCCGTTCATGCTCTGTCTCTCTCTGTCCCAAAAATAAATAAACGTTGAAAAAAAAAAAAAAAAGAAAAGAAAGGTAAGAGTTGGGGAGGAAGGACTTTTTTCGGCTACAGCCATCTTCCATTAATGGAGGGTGTCCATGTCCTGGCTGCAGGTCTCCGCCCTGTCCCGGGATTCTGCCTATAGGGGGCCTTCCTGTCACATCCATTTCTTACAGGAAATCCACGCGTCCAGGATGGTAAACCAGTCATCCTCCTTTTTCGCACTCGAAACAGCCCTGTGTTTGAGCTGCTTCCTTGGTAAGTGCCAGGTAGGCCCATCAGGTCTGGACTCCCCACCAGCTTTCCCACACCGAACCCACATCCTACTCCACTGCCCGGCTCCAGATGCCTGCTCACCTTCTCCCCCTAGTGGCGTTATCCAGGGGGAGCCAGGGGCCCAGGCACAGCTCATCGCTTTCCATCCTTCCTTCAACAAAGGGGCTCTGCTCAGTGTGGTGAGTAGGCCAGGCTACTGGGCTCTTTGGGAGCGGGGTGGAAGAACCAGGGCTTTGGCTGCCGTGTGGCCTTCTTTGGGCCTAGGCTCTGATAGACTTTTTTTGTCCCTCTCTGCAGTGCTGGTCCACAGGCCGAATTGCCCACATCCCTCTGTACTTTGTCAATGCCCAGTTTCCACGTTTCAGCCCAGTGTTTGGCCGAACCCAGGAGCCCCCAGCTGGGGGTGGAGGCTCTATTCATGATCTGCCCCTCTTTACTGAGACATCCCCAATCTCTGCTCCATGGGACCCTCTCCCTGGGCCACCACCTGCCCAGCCCCACTCCCCTCACTCCCACTTCTAATAATAATAATAAATTCCCTTCTTTGTTTTCCACTCAGTTATGAGACTCTTTTAGTGAAGAAAAGAAGGTGTGGACTTCGGGTTAAGATGGCTATGTCACTTTTCATGAAATGGGTCAGATTGTTTAACTTTAGGAACTGGGTGGTTTTCAAATGCTTTGGAAAGCAAAGCTGAGAAAGTACCTACCATGGACTTTGGCATATAATAAACATTTCACTTTTCCCAAGTTTCAGCAGGTTCCCAAAAGGGTGCAGGGCAATAATGGGGCAAGGACTTGATCAATATGAGACAGATGGCATTTTATTAGGGTAGGGGATTTGTGGGACTCATCGGCACTGGGCGCTGGGCCAGGGTGGCACGGGCCATGCTCAAGGCACCCTCTCGGGTGTGGTGCCCACCAATGAAGCCGCTGGTGTGGACAAAGATGCAGCCAGGAATCCCACTGACCTGGTCCAGGGCCTCATCCCGAAGTCCCCGCCATGGCTCTGGCAGGGGCAGCCTACAAGTGAGCAGAAAGAGGAAGTTGGTGGGAGCAAATGGAGGCCTTGAGGAAGAGACAGAGGGAGCACAGAAGAGGCCAAGGTTAGTGGCTCCCTCTGATAAAGGGCTGAAACAGACCTGAAGGTCTGCAGGGAGGTCCTCTAAGGGCCTTACCGGCTCTGGAATGAGTGGGGCTCCTTGGGCACACACTGTACCCGCCACTGTCCAGCCTGGTCAGTGTAGATAACAAAGGCGATGGTCACCGGAGGGGACAGCCCAGATTCCAGGTGGTAGAGGTGCTCCTTCCAGGGGCATCCACCTTTGGCCAGTTCTACTATCTCCCCACTTGGGTCCACCTGAAAGGGAGGCATGGTTGGAAGGTTCAGGATGAAAGTGGGAGCCCCTGCTGACCGGCAGCCTACCAGCAGTCACCAATTTGTGAACCACAGTGCCTCCTCCCAGGCCTGTACCTGGAATCGCTGGGCCAGGGCCTCTTCCACCAAGGCCCGGGCTGGCAGCCAGCTGTGCTGGTAGAAGCCCACTCTCTGCAGAAACTCCTCTCGAACTAGATCCATTGCACGCTTGAAACCGGCCTGGGAATCGTGGGAATCAGAACCATGGTGCCGGCCCCAACTTTTGACTTTGCTAAGACTGGAAGAGGCAACCACTCTCATTTCCTCCCCCGAAGCACTTATGTGCCTCACAGTCCCTTCCCCTGGGGCTCTCCTTACCTCGGTGTCTTGGTTGGGCTGGTTCCAGGTAGGATTAAGCCGAGCAACCCGGGCGCTCAGTGTGGTGGTCAGCACATATCTAGGCTCTCCCTCCTCCCACTGGGAGATCCCATTGTCCACCGCATCCACCTCCTCCACGAAGTTCTCGTACATCTAAGGCAGCAGCGGGAGAAATGCTCTTGAGGGTACCTACCACTTGCATACAGTGGTCTAGGTTTCAAAGTATGCGCACACACACTCTTTCATTGAATCTTCATGACAGTCCCATGAAGCCTCTCAGCATTCATTGGACGAGGAAAGGGGGAACTGGGGAGTTCAGCGGCTTAAGGTCAAGCTAACAGTGCTGGGGCTGGAATTCTGATCACCTGACTTCTAATCCAGCACTCCCTCCGCTACTGTGCGGAGCCTGAGTCAAGGCCAGTGTGTGTGGGGTGGGGGCTGCTGATTTCAGAACAAGTTCCATGAGGGGCTCTGTGGAAGTGGATGGATCTCTGGCTGAGAGTGGGTGAGTCTCCAGGGAGGCCGAATGGGCTCTTCAATGACCTGGTGAATGAGGTACAGAGGGGTCTGGCCAAACACAAGTCAGGTAGAGAGACGGCTGGAGACACAAGCTGGGATGTGGTCCCAGGGAAGCCCAGAATGTGCCATGTGCTGTACCTCTTGAGCCTGCAGAAACGGCAGGGCAGGGCCTCAAGAGCCTGGGGGGTAGAAATGATATGCGATATCAATGCTTAAAGCAAAACTGCCTGACACACAGGCCTACAATGTCAATATGTCTGCGGTTTGCAGAAAAGTGCTGTTCTTGGAGAGAGCCGATAAACTCCTCTGTGCCCAGCACCTCTTGGTCTGGATCCCAACATGATGCTCAGTTAAAACTTGGTACAACCTCCTTTAATTGCTTAGAAACTCCTCAGCAAAAGGGAAAACAGACTCCAGCAGTCTAAAAACCTTAGTATTCCAAAAGCTCCAGTTCAACCATTTATATTTCTTCACTCCTTTGGATCATACTCCTCCTGTGTCACAGGGGCAGATGACAGGCAAGCGGAGACAGAAATGAACTCAATGGCCTCTGCAACGACCAGAGCTGACTAAATCTGAAGTTTGACTTATGTTTTTAAATGTATTTATTTCGAGAGAGGGAGTGCACATGCACGAGTAGGGGACGGGCAGAGAGGAAGAGAATCCCAGGCAGGCTCCAAGCTCAGCACAGAACTCGACTCAGCGTTGAATCTCATGAACCGTGAGATCATGACCTGAGCCAAAATCAAGAGTATGCCGCCCACCCGACTAAGCCACCCAGGCACTCCTGAAGTTTGACTTGTGAGCTTCATAGGAGTGGGGTCAAGTAGGTGTCCTCAGAATCCCTGTTTGATGTAACACGTGTGCCAGGGTGAGTGGCCCCATCCCCTCCCCACAGCAGGAACGTGTTGAGCTGCTTGCAGGGGTTGCTGATGGAACCTGCAGAAGTTTTTGTAATCAAAACCCTTCCCAGCTGAGCTTCCCAATCCGTGCGTCCGAGATCTGCCCCCGACCCCCCTTCAGGGCAGCCAGAACCTCTAAGCCTTAATGCTTCCAAACGTAAGCAGCCACCTTCTATTACCAAGTTGTTAATGCATGTCAGGTCAAGAAAAGGACCAGGAAATGCTGCTTTACAGTTTTCAAAGCCCTTCTCCAAACACCACCTCATCCACTTCTCACAACCGCCCCACGACAGAGATGAGAGAGACTGACCGTCTCCTTGTGAGAAGATGAGGTTGAGGGAGAGGGTGCTGGGCTAGCTCTGGGCCAGGAATCCTGACCTGAGGCCCAGTCCTGCGTGAGGCCCACTCCCAGCCGGTGGAGATGCATATATGGGTCATCTCTGTCCTCGGGTCCCCACCTTGTCATAGATGGTGCCCACCATGCTGTCCTCTTCGTTAGTGCCCAGCAACTGGGCCAGCAGCTTGTGCCCGAAGTGCAGATAGATGAGTCCCGCACTGCTCAGCTTGGTCTGCCACGGCTTCCCAGGAGACAGGGAGCTCATGGTCTCTGTGAAAGATCTGAGGAGCACAGGGAGGTGGGGCTGAGGCAGAGCTGCCCCAGGAAACCCACAGTGTGTGTGTGCATGTGCACACACAAGTGGGTGAGGACACTGGAGAATAGTCAGGAGTTGGGAGGAGGAAGCCCAGCTGTGAAGGCTTTAGCTTTTCCTTGGGGTTCAACATGGACGTCAGCTTGGAGTCCCCATTCATACACGCATTCAACAATGGATTATTGAATGCTTACTACATGCCAGGCTTTGTGTTTTAGACGTTAGGGATTACAAAAAAAAAAAAAAAAAAAAAAGACAAAAGACAACGTCCCTGCCTTCAAGTTCATCTATTAAAGGTAGACAAGCGGGGCGCCTGGGTGGCTCAGTCGGTTAAGTGGCCGACTTCGGCTCAGGTCATGATCTCGCAGACCGTGAGTTCGAGCCCCGCGTCGGGCTCTGTGCTGACAGCTCAGAGCCTGGAGCCTATTTCAGATTCTGTGTCTCCCGCTTTCTGACCCTCCCTCGTTCATGCTCTGTCTCTGTCTCAAAAATAAACGTTAAAAAAAAAAAAAAAAAAGGTAGACAAGCACACAAATGACCAAGTGAATGCTCTAGCTAGGTTATAAACAACGATAAGGACGGAAGGGGGAGGGAGTGTGTTCAGGCCAAAAGATGAATCAGTAGGTGTCACCAGCCAGACAAAGAGTGAAGAAGAAAAGGCGTTCCAGGCAGATGGAACAACATGTACGATGGCTGAGAGATCTTTTCATGGAACTGCAAGAAAGGCAAGCTTGGGATTCGAGGAGTGCCAAAAAATAAAGCTGGAAGGGTCAGCAGGGGCCAAATCAGGGCAGGCCCTGTCCGCTGTATTTTGGAGCTTGGACTTGATGTATACGTAGTGGGGAGCCACTGAGACACTTTAGTGGATAAGTGCCTGTTAGAGCACTGTGTTGGCTGGCATACAAAAAAAAAATATATATATATGCAAGATTACCTGCAGCGGTGTAGGTGAGTGAGGAAGGCAGAAATTTGAATTCTCAGTGGCACAGAGAATAGGGAAAAGGTAGGGCAGTTCTCAGGGAAACAGAAACCAACCACAGCTGTAATTTCTAACTACCAGGCCATCATAATCCCCCAGGGAGCTCATTTTTTGTTTTAGTGTTATTATTAGTAAGTACAAAAATATTTATAAAATGTCCATAAGGTATAAAGACTAACATAGTAACTCCCTCAGGTAAAAGTTCAAAAAGAAGCAAAACTAAATTGTTGATGGAAAACAGACATGTGCTGAACTACACGGGAGATCAAGGGCAAGATGGACACAAATTTAAGGATACTGCTTACTTCTGGGGACACAGGGGGATGGGACAGGGAAGAAGTACTCGGCACAGATGCAAAGGTAATGGTAATGTTCTAGTTCTTAGATTGGGAGATTGGTTCTTAGGTGTTCATTACAGGTTTTATATTCCGAAAACGTACATTCTTTCATGTATCAAATGCTGCATAATTTTAAAAAAAGTATATAAAATCACGAGAAAAAAGGAAATTAGTCAATACTGTAAAATGTCCCAAAGAGGTCAACTGAAGTGAGACCTTCAGCCAGCAACCTGAGTTTGGTGGTGAGGTCACCAGTGCCCTTTCCATGAGCACTGCCAGTGGAGAGATTGGGAGAGGACCAGCTAAATGAATGAATGGAATGAACTGGAAGGGAGGTGGAGCCAGGGTCCGCTCTTCTTTTGAAGACAGGCTTTGAAGGGAGGGGAGGAGATGAGGCTATAAATAGAGGGTTCCCACACCACATCATTTATGAACGTA